ATTTTGTAGTTTTCAGCATACAAGTGTTTCACTTTTTTGGTTAGATTTGTTCCTAAGTAAGTACATCTTTTAGGTGCTATTGTAAATGACATTGTTTTCCTAATTTCCTTTTCAGATTGTTCATTGCTGGTATATAGAAACACAACTGATTTTTGTATGTTGATATTGTATCCTGCAACTTTGCTGAATTTATTTTTTAGCTCTAGTATCTTTCTTGTGAATTCTTTGGGATTTTCTATATATAGGATTATGTCTTCTGCAAATAAAGATGTTTTTCTCTGTTCCTTTCCAATTTAGATTAATTTTATTTCTTTTTCTATAGCTTTGTCTAGAACTTTGAATAGCAGGAATGAAAGCAAGCATCCTTGTCTTGTTCCTGATCTCATGGAGGAAACTTTCATTCTTTCACCATGAAATATGATGTTAGCTGTGGGTTTTTATTAAGTACTCTTAATCATTTGGGGGAATTTTCCCTCTATTCCTAGTTTTCTGAGAGGTTTTATCAATATAAGTGTGTTGTATTCTGTCAAATGCCTTTGCTGCATCAATGAGATAATCATGTTGCGTTTTATCCCTTTGGTCCTATTAATGTGTTGTGTTACATCAGTGGATATTCTTATGTTGAACGACCCTTGCATTCTTGGGATAAATCCCACTTGGTCATGACAAATAATCCTTTTAATATTGTTGGATTTTATTTGCTAATATTTTCTTGAGGATTTTGTATCTATATTCATAAAAGTATTGTTTTGTAATTTTCTTGGGATGTCTTTATCTGGCTTTGTTATTAGAGTAATGCTGTTATAAAGTGTTTCCTTTTCTTCAATTTTTTGAAACAGTTAAGAAGGATTGGTCTTAATTTTCTTTAAATGTTTAGTAGAACTCATTAATAAACCCATCTGGCACANGTTGTTTCTCCTTGTTGGTTGTGTCATGAATAATGCTATTATAAACATTCATGTACAAGTGCCTGTATGGCCATGTATTTTCATTTTTCTATGGCATAATATCACTGAGTCAAGTGATATTAGGGTTGAAAAACGGCGACAGTGTTTCCTAAAATACTCTTCATTCATTTCTATTATGCAGATCCCCAATTCAGCTTTGAATTAGAAGTGTGTCACTTCCATGACCTGATTTTTAAACTATTTTCTTGAGCCTATAAACTATCCCCATAAATTACTAATATGCTCCTTTTTAATTTATTTTCTGTTTAAACTTGACAATCCTGAAAGGTACGTTAAGCACAATAGTAGTCATATGAAATGTTTCTTCAGCACTTGCTATGGACCAGACACTCTACAAAACTCTTCACCTGGATTTTTTTAGTTAATCTTCACGATCATGTCTGAAATGAGTGGCATTTTGTCTTCCTCTTTTGCGTGACGAAATTAAATCTTTGAGAAGGCAAGCAACCTGTCCTAGGTAACACAGCAGATTAATGGAGGAGACAGGTTGATGCATGTTTCCCAAGTGTGTGCCCTTAGCTGTATGCAGTTAGGCCCCCTGTGGCATCTGGCTGGCAGCCAGTGAGGGCTCCTCTCCCCTGAGTGCCTTCCACAGTCTTTGCTATCCAGGATAGTTCACCTTTCTCTGATGGCACTTAATCACACTCCATCTTGTATTACTGTTATTTGTGTACATTTCTTAACTTCCTTAGCCCAGAATCTGGTATGTATAAGAAGTGAACAATAGATATTTCTGAATGGATACATAAACACGCAGTTGAGTCTATAAAAGACCAAATGAAATTTCCAGTTCTAATTGAAGAAGTAAATTGCTTTAGCAGAGCAAGTAGAGGAACCTCACCCTGCTGGCAAAAAATATGGCAGCTACCCTTTTCCCACGAACATCATTATAATTTTTTCTTTAAAAAGCTTGTCATATTATTACAAAATCCTGATCTCCTTTTCAGCGCTTTATACGCAAACCTTTAATAGTGTATGGCAGTTGAAGTCACCAAGATTATTTTAATTAAATTCAGTAGTTAGCAAATATTATGGCAAAATTTCTCCCAAGTTATATCATTGGCCAATAGAGCAAACTGTTTTTTTACCAGAGTCTCTATGCTGGGATGTTTTCTCCTGCCTTTTTTTTTTTTTAAAAACATTTTATTTACTTTCGTCTCATCTTGCTTTTCCTAGATTTTATTATGGCCCAGCTGAACCAGATGCCTCTCTCTTTGTAACTGTAATGTTACATCCTGGAAAGAATTGAAGGAGAAACAATTTCCCAAGTAATGACTATTGGTAAGAATAAGAACGGAGGGAGGGGAGCAGCCCAGTTGGGACAGGCCGATGCCAGACTGGCTGTCTGATTCTGGGTAGAATTAAGCAGGGTGGCACAGGCCAGCACAAAAGATGTCAGTAATAACCTTGTAATGTTCCCACAAATGGTATGAGTTGTCTGATTGAGTCGATTTTTTGAAATTTCCACGGGAAAGATGCAAAATATAAGTTTTCCTTTAAAATATCCCCAGCTGCTACCATTTACGCTCCAGGCTTTGGTGGGCTAGGATTTCTGTCCCCTTTATTACGGCCATGGAATGCAACACTTGTATGTTTCATGTCGCCTATGGTAATATAGAACACTTTAAGATGCCCCTATCAGATGAGCTGTGTGATGGAAATCCAACTAGAACTCTGCAGAGATGGGAAAGTGAAACGGATCCTGTAACCAGAGACAGAGGAGAAAGGCTATGGTGGACCACGGACTTAGGTGACTTCAAAGAAAGATGCGATCCATTAGGGAAGATCAATAAGAAGAAGGAAAGAATTGAAGGTAGCCCAAATTTTTCTTTCTTTCAAAAAAGTGAACATATTCTATGCACTTGAAAAGGTTCTTTANATATAATTTTTAATTACATTAGCATGACTCAGCCAGTATATTATTTTGCAACGTCTTTTGAGTGACATTAGTGGTTTATCCGAAATATTTTCCCTTTTGATATTTAAATTGCTGAATGAATCATTTGGTGAGATTTTATTACTTTGAACTTTTTGTGTGGTAGCCAATCTGTATTTATTTAATGATATTAGAAAAATGGAATTAAATACTCGTGCCCATATACTTTTCAGTAGAGCTTCTTATTTAAAATTGAGGGGAGGGACACCTCTAACATGAATTTGAAGTAATTCTGTTACTGGCTCCTTTCCTTTTTTCTTTTTATCTTTCTTTAAGAGTCTGGAATCTTCCAAAAATCCTTCAAGAAATTGTCCAGAGGCCGGTAAGGACAATCATTAATTAGCACTGCATCTGTGACAATCCCCATCTGACAATGACCTAAACTCAGAGGCCCCTGCTAGCTCAGTAGCTCACAATTCTGGCAGCCTGACTTGGGGTAGGCTTTGCAGAGAGGAATAGAGGGAACGTCTCCTCCCATGGCTCTACTCAGGATCTTCTGGGAGTTATCCATGTGGTCATAATTAGTTTTAAATATGATTGTTTCATTTCTGAAGAAAGCAAATGAAACTTGGAATCAGGAGAATAGTCCACAGATTACAGCACAACCATCTGCTTGAGCTGGGTGTCAAGGCTCCTTCCTCCTCCTCGTCCCGTCCCAGAGGGTTTTTGTTGTTGTTGTTGTTAATATGATTAATTTCATTTCCAGGAGCAGGGAAGATCACATTTGCCAGGAAAATCACCTGAGTTTACGCTGTCTGTGAACTCAGGTGGAAGGGGTTCCTCATTGGGAGATACAGTTCAAAGCAGGAAAGTGAAGACTATTTTATGGCTTTGACGGAAAAACTCGCTTTGTTCTGAAAAAAACTGAGTCTAACGACAGGATATGCTCAAATAAATCTTCAGCCAGCAACAGGACCTCTAACCACCGTGTCCTCCCTCTTCCGCAGCGCCTCCTGGGTACTTGCAACCCATTCCCAATTCACCCGAGAGCGCGTGCAGACTCGGAACTCGGCTCACAGGCCGAACTCGCCCATGAGCATCGCTAAATAGCAAACTGATGCCCGCACGCCAAGGTCTCACTGACTAGGGCATCCACCACCTGGGAGGCGAGTTACAGAGCCGCGGCTTCCGAGTGGAAAGGCTGGCCGCCAGACTGGCTTTTTCTCTTTGCTTAAAAATTATAGGCCGTTTTTGAGAGCGGGACTCCCCTTTCCCCGGGCAGGGGAGCGGAGAACCATAGCCGGGTCCAGGACTGGACACCCGGTCCCCGCAGTTGCAGAGCGGCATCCCGCCCTGTCCCTAGGTAAAGTGGCCCTCCCCTCTCCATCACCAGGGAGACGCAGAAGTCACGCCCCCTGGCTTTTTGCCGCCCCCTCCTGCAATTCTCCAGCTCGGAAAAGGCTCCGGGACGCCGGACCTTGTTTTCATTAGCGCACACGCTGCCTGTGCCGCGTGAGTCCCCAACTTATCCAGGAGGTGAATTTTACGCCAAAGATTTGGCTCCGGAAAGTAGTTCTGACCGCACGGTTGTCCCTCACAGCTTCATTTCAGTACGCGCCCCGAAAGTGCAGGTTCTTAAACCTCCCCCGCACTCCCTAGCGCACGAATGCCGGGTGGTGGCCAGGAGGTGTGCAGCCGGCAGCTCACCGCTGCAGTCAAGGAGTGAGGGTGCTCTGTACCTGTCCCTTTTCCGACCCCTGAACTGCACCGGGACTCATCCAACAAATCCCACGAATCCAAATAACCCTTTCGGAGGTTTCCAAATTCGAGTTTGTTTCTCCTGTCCCCTCCCCGCGCTGACTCTATAAACTTCTGTGAGGTCTTTCCCTCCGATCCGAAGGGGCGCGTGGTTGGATGCGCGAAGTCGGCCTCTTTCCCGGCTCTGGAGGGCGGGGTGGGTAGGCAGGGACCTGGATCTGATTAGGTGGGAGGGGGAAGCCGTGGTCCCAAACCTTCTTTCTTGTCTCCCAGCGCCTCGGGGAGGAAGAGGGAAAGCACAAGAGAGGTGGGCCCAATCCCTGAGCACCCCACCCAGGGTTCTGAGCCGCTGCCGCCGTACCCGGGCTCTCACCTCACCCCAGCCCCGGGTCCCCGCCATGGGGCCGCCTTCCAGCTCTGGTTTCTACGTGAGCCGCGCAGTAGCCCTGCTGCTGGCCGGGCTGGCTGCCGCGCTCCTGCTGGTGCTGGCGGTGCTCGCCGCCCTCTACGGCCACTGCGCGCGAGTCGCGCCGTCGGAGCTTCAGGACTGCGGCGTCCCGGACGCCGCACCTTCTCCGCCAGGTGAGCAGGAGGGGTCGCCAANGTTGTTGGAGGCTCCATGGAGTTGGTCATTGTAGTGGAGGCTGGAAGGGACCTCGGACTCCAGAGTCCAAGACTGAGGGTGGGATTTGACCTCCCACTCCAGGTGGCTTCAGCTTCTTCACGCTGTGCCCATTCACCTCTTGTTATCTTCTCATCTCTTTTCCCTCCTTCCTGGTTTAGACTCACCCATCAGTGGTAAACACTGATGTGCACCATGGAGACCCCTCTTCAAGGAAAGGTGTGGTGACAAGCAGTGCGAAGTGGAACCAGGAGGCAGCCTCCAGCTGTCAGCTCCTTCAGGACCTGCCTCAGCTGCCAAGAGTCTGTGACCAAGGCCATGCCCATTGTGGGACAGTCTGCATCTGGTGAGTGAACACGGGCTGCCCATTTCTTTAAAGTCCCAGACAGTTGTTTTGGGTGACTCCGAAGGGCAGTATTCATTCCAGAACTCCCCACTGGGTGGGCCTGTGTTGCAGTTTGACTTCTCCCTCTGCCAGTTGTGCTTCATCCCCTTCCTGCCACAGGTGTTGATTCCTAACAAACATCTTCCACCCCAAACTCCACCTCAGCATCTGCTCCTGGAGAACCCACCCCGTCACAGTTAGCTTACAGCATGGCGTGCCCAGCATGTGTCAAATATGGATAATGAATTGGAAATTTAGGCCATTCAAGAAGGTACAATTTGTCTTCTACATCCCAACCCTGACCCCCACTCGCCCCAAGACAACTAGTCCTGAATCTATTCCAAGAGCAGTAGCGTCAGCGACAACAGAAATTTCTGACTCGTGTTGGTAACACCACATGAAGATAGCTGGGGCCAGAGAACCCCTGGACAGAAATTTCTGCTACTAAATGCACAAAGCAGTGTCTTTGGGGCATTGCCATACATGTGACCTCATTTGCATCCAAAGATTAGGTAAGTCCCAAGGCCAGGACATAGAGGTACATTTATGTTCAGTATTTGGTGGTTGTAGGGCCCTCACATTTCCTCTCTAGGTTGCTCACCACTGTCCTGGCTCCCATATTTATTAGACCTTTCCTGGAAGAGGGATCTCCATGGTGCATATCAGTATTTACCACTGATGGGTTAGTCCAAACCAGGGAGGAGGGAAAAGAGTCAGGGAGCCCCATATCCTTCTTTTCTGCCTCCTCTCTGCTTTTTCAGGGTGGCCTCATACATTACAGTGGCTTAGGGAGTTTTGTAGTAGAAGTTGAGGTGACAGATAGTAATAGACATTTTCCCTGATGATCTTTAATTCTGTTTGCTCACGTTGGACACGGATGGCATCATAGGGGGCATGTCCTGTGCAGCATCNCTCAACGTCTACACGGACCAGGGTGAGCGCAGGTAAGGGCAGGCCGGGCGGGGCCTCCTCGACCCCCGCATCAGTCCAGCTGTCTACCTGCCTCCAGGTGCACGTCTCCTGCCCTTTCCACCCCTCGCGACCTTTTCTTTTAGAGCCTGAGGAAGAGCGCCCCCTTTCTCTCCGCCCCTCCAGAGACCCTGTTTGGAATACAGGCTTTGAGACCGCGGTCCTGCCTCTGGCCAGTTTTCATTCCCATCCCTTGCCGTCCAGTTTGTTTTTCTCGTTGCCCCCTTTAAAGTCGCCGCCACCCCAGAAGTTCATCGTCCTCTTTAGAAAGTTCCATTTTCCTATAACCCACAATTTTTTCATCGCAGTGAACACATCCCTTGCTACTCAAACTTTGGTCCGCGGACCTGCTGTAGCTGTAACACCTGGGAGCTTGTTGGAAAGGCAGACACGTGGGCCCCACCCTCGATTGAGGGGATTCGAATTTACGTTTTAACGAGATCCTCGGGTGATTTCCGGGCGTTAACATTGGAGAAACGCGGGACTGTCCCTCCTGGGCGTCCCTACGCGCTCAGCTCCCTGTCGCTGCCTCTTTTCCAAAGCGCTCGGTAACGGCTGCTCTTGCAACAAATAAACCCACGTCGGGGCTGTTTGTTCTTTTTGCTAAGGTTCAAACTCCGGAATCCGGTTTAATTCATCCCCTCCCACTCCCTACCTTGGGCCGGTGTATGGTTTTGCTGGGGAACAGCCGTACCTCCTACCCACTCCTAGCTCTTTGAACATCTCTGCTGAGTGTTGGAGGCGCTTTCCGGATTCCTCTGCTGAAAAAAGTAAAATAAAAGCGATGACAGACCTCCCCTCTGAGTTTGCAGGCTCACGTAGCGTACATACGATCTTTTAACACTCATTTGCGATAATGTCTCCCACTAGCAATGTTTTCTGTTCGAGAATTGCTCCTCGCCACGCGCTGCGACCATATTACTTGACCTCCAGCCAGCATGGGGGTGTGGAGTATGTGTGGGATGGTTAGGTGGAAGATACCAAAAAGGTCCTTTTTCAAACTGGCGATTTCCTTCACTCGCGCACTGGCCGAGCATTTGCGGTTTACACAACTGCATGTACTTTACCCTTTATTATTAGAGAAAATGTTCTCAGATGTTCTCTGGGGGAAAGAAACCCACTAAATTACCCCATAAATCGTCTCCTGAGCTATTTTCAAAACGTCAGAGATTAAAAAAAAATGTTTAATAAGCTGCCTTAGTGGATGTGCAATCTGTAACTTTTGTTTTTACGGACAGTATGCCTGTTTTTTTCTCTTTCCAAAATGCATCAATGCTTGAAAAATCGTTTTGAAAAGTTTCACGTTGGGATGACGTGTAACTAGACTTATGAGCACTGGAACCCTTTTGAAATAACTGTGTGTAGTTCAGGGTGCATGATTTTTCAGAGAAACAAAGCCGCTCCCTGCACTCATATCTGGTAATGTTTCCTGCTGTCAGTAAGTAAATCTTCATCTGTTCACCCAGCTTTCTTCTTCCTTAATGGGAAGTCTTAATGGGGCCCAGGCAAACTGCTCTAGCAGACATGGGAAAGGAAAGGCCCTTTTTCGATTGTGCTGCCAACTCTAGCGGTAACCAGACACCATATTTTGAGAAAATTAAAACTCAGGCAGAAATCTTAATAAAGTTTTACAGATGTTCATAGACCAAGGTAGAACTGTGGCATCTTAGAACAGCTGTTGTCTTAGTATTGTTCTTTAGGGCCTCTGCTTCTGAAGCCACAAGGAAAAGAAACCTGCAGTTGAACGTGAAGCCAAGGTCACCAAGAACCTGGACAAAGAGATGAGTTGTGGTGAGGCAGATTTTGGAAGCCCATGAGGCCTGAGTTTGAACCTGAGCTGTGTGACCTGAGCCAGTCTCTTCACTGCTGAGTTTATTCATTCGGGATAGACATAATAAGTGTTAATCTTTAGAGTATTGTGAAAATTAAATGTGAAAGGGGGGACAGCGACTGACTCATAACCTGTGCAGTGGTAGCTGGTATTATTAGTTCCAGATATAATTGATAGAAACACCATCCTGTTAGCTAAACATGGAACCTGCCACATTCCTGGTAGATACGAGATTTGGGAAGAAACTCCCTACTGATACCACGTTTTTCTTGGGCTGTCTCTAATTGTAGCTGCAGCAGTTTGAACATGTTTACCTGTCTTCTTTGGTGAACCTTTATTATATTCTGGACAGACTAATGTGTTTACATAGTTGTACTCAAAACTAAGGGAAAATAGAAAGGAAATCATTACAGAAAGTACAAAAAGCTTCACTCCCACTTTTAAGGTTTAGGTTATGATTTTGTACTTCAGATCTTTCTGGAGATGCTTCCCACTTGTTCTTGGCCCTTCTCCACATGGCAGGTGCCATCACATTCCTACCATATAGGAGCCACTTATTGGATGCCTTGGACGTGTATTTCTGTGTGTCAGTGTCTGGTTCCCTCCTTCCACGTGTAGACAGTTGAGAGCAAGATTAAGATGTTAACGTTCCTCAAAGCAGTATTTCCCAAACTTTGTCCGCTGGCATGTCACTATTTCAGGTTGTGTCAAATTATTCATGTACCTCTGGCCATACTACTTGCTAAAAAAAGATACTTGATTTAAACAAAAATATTAGATAGATTCATTGAAAAGCAACTCTATACCATTGTCACAGATGGAAAACCATTTGCAATTTATAGAATATAATGGCATAGTCTAATACAGCATAAAAAAAACAATGCTAATAAGTTCTATCTATTATTATTGCCTGCTAAAGGGTCCAAAGTTCTGAATCTAAGGGCTGTTCTCTCTTTGTTAAAAAAGGAAAATAGGAATTAGGTGTTCATGAGAAATAACACCAAACAGGGACTTTTTCTTGACCTAATCAGAATTATTCATAAAATTGGAAAAGGACTGACTTTCTCATGTGTGAGTCAGATCTATAAAACAGGGTATCTGAGGGGTACCAAAAATCTTTCTTCATCTCTACTTTGGGGAATTCTGCATGAGAGTGCTTCATGAACTTTTAATCAGAACCATCAGAGGAACTTATTAAACATGCAGATTCCCGGGGCACAGCCTCAAAAATTCCATTCAGTACACTCATGTTCACAGCAACATTATTCACAGCAGCCACAAGGTGGAAGCGACCCAGTTTCTATTGATGGGTGATGGATAAACAGAATGTGGTATATATGTACAATGGAGTATTATTCAGCCTTAAAAAGGAAGAAATTCTGACACACGCTACAACATGGATAAACCTTGAGGATGGACATTCATTATACAGGGGGTGCCAAAAAATGTATACACATTTTAAGAAAGGAAAAAACTATATTAAAATTGTAATACTCAAGATAGTGATAACAAAAGATAAATACAAGTAAGTCATGTGTATACATTTTTTTGGTACCCCAGTATAAGATACCTAGAGTAGTCAAATTCATAGAGACAGAATGTAGAATGGTGGTTGCTAAGGGCTGGGGGAGTGGGAAGTTGTTTAATGAAAAATATTTAGGTTTCCAGTTTGGGGCTATTATAAATAAAGCTTCTATGAGCCATTGTGTATAAATTTTTGCATGAAGGTGTTTTCATTTTTCTGTTATAAATGCCCAGGAGTGCAATTGTTGGGTCATACAGTAGTTGCATGTTTAGTTTTTAAGAAACTGCCAAACTGTCAAATGTTTCCCAAAGTGCTTGTACCATTTCACATTCACACCAGTAATGTATGAATGGCAGTTTCTCTGCATCTTGGCCACCATTGGGTATTGTCACTGTTCTTGCTTTTTTTTTTAAGATTTTATTGGGGAATTGGGGGAGGGGAACAGACAAGTTGCTGTCCTTTTGTTCTTCAATCTAGTTGTGGAGGACGTCACTTTACCGGCCCATGTTGGTATTATCATTGCATTCTTCCCGGGTGAGGCAGTCGCTCGCTGGCCATTGGACTGCCGCTCACGGNTCAGGGCCCTGGCCCTTCTTTCTGCCTGGAATGCTTTTCCCCTCGGTCTCTGCATGTTCGCTCCCTCACTTGTTCAAATGCCACTTCTTCAGAGAAATCTTCTCTAGCCATTGTCTAAAATCACAGCTGCCCCGCTTCCACCATTCTCTTCTTTTACTGACTTCCTTCTTCTTGAAAACATGTATTTCCACCCAATGTTATTGATTTGTTTGCTTGTTTATTGTCTGTCTCCCCTGGCTAGAATGTCATCTTGAGGGCATGGACTTCAGCTGTTTAGTTCACAGCTACGTTCCCAGCAATCACAGCAGTGCCTGGCACTTAGTAGGAACTCAGTAACTATTTGTCAAATGAATTATGAAGTCGTTGGGCTGTTGGCATCTAACTTAATTTATTTCAGGATGTTTGCGAGCATAATGTTTGCTGGCTCGGTAACCTCCTTACTCCTCAGTGTGCTAGCTTCTACTCCTACTCCCACATTTTTATCATCTGCAGCTTCTCATGAACTATGGTATAACCTACAAAGAATTGCAGGGGATGCCAGATAAATAAACCTGTTAGGACACTGAGATTAGCTTTATGTCTAATGCTGCATTAATAGGTTCTTTCTGTGGCAATGTGAAAAAAATAAGGGAACTGAATGGGAGCCAGCTGCTTGGAGTTCTAGTAATTACTCTTCTACCAACAGCTGTGTGATGGGGGAGTCACGTGGTTTCCCATCCTCTTCTTAGTGCCCCCCAATTCCTTCATATTGCTGCTGAAAAGCAGAGTACATACATTCGTGACACCTATTTCTATCACTACTGGGAAGGAAGGTATTTTTCATGCTTTTGCATTTTGGCCTGAGTGAAAGATATGTTCGTTTGAAGTGATGCATAGTGATTGATTGGAATTCAGGAACCTTGTATTCATTCATTTTATAAAAGACTTATTGGACATATACTATGCCAAGCTGTGTAATAGAAACTGTAAATAAAGTGGTGAATAAGAAAGTCCTTATCTTTGCCTTTATGGATTCAACAGTCCACTGATAAGACTCAAACAAGCAACCACAGGCCAGGAGACCAGGTAAGAGGCTTTTGCAGGTCTCCACATGCAGGTATGACCTCAGCCTAACTTGGAGGTATATAGAGGCACTGAGGAGAGAGAAAATCAGAGAGCTATTTTGGAGGCAAAACTGATAAAACTTGCCAATTGACTGGATGTGAGGAGCGCAGAAGAAGGGGAACCGGGTAACTCCCGTTTGGTGATTATTGGATGTGAGAAATAAAGAAGAGGGAGGCCACATGGCTAACTCCCAACTTTTTGATTTGAGCAACTAAAGGTGGGAGTGGTGATGCCATTTCCCAAACAGGAATCACTGGAAAAGGAGCAGATGTGGGGCCGAGACGTCCGGCAAAAGAATGAGTCCAGTTCAGGCCGAGGAGCCTGGGAGACAGTCAGCCACCATGTAAAGGAGCAGGTGGGCCCATGGGCTGAGATTGCAGACAAAAATGTAGGGTTGTCTGGGTCGGCCGAGAGGCACGGTTGGTTAAGAATTGGCTTGGGAGCGAGAGCTCTGAGCAGCGGGGCCATCGGTTCGGATCCCACATGGGCCAGTGATTCAGCGCCCTCTACAG